GGGTATGGACGATACTGAGGCCTTGAAGTACGCTGATGAGAACCACATTCCTCTCCCTGAGCTCAAGGAGGCTCAGGCTCAGCCTGATGCTGGACCCAATGACCAGGACGCCATTGCCGAGCAGCTCCAGCAGGTCGCCGCCGCCCCTGCTGTCGAGGAAGAGCTCGACTCCAAGACCCCCAAGAAGGGCGGTGCTCGTAAGCGCAAGACCGGCGAGCCTATTCTTGCTCCCGATGCCACCCCCATCGCTACTCCTGCCAGCCCCGACAAGAAGCGCAGAAGAACGTCTGGCAAGGTCGCCGAAATCCAAGAAGAACCCAAGAAGTCAGGACGCAAGAAGACTAAGAGCTCTTAGCTGTCTTCTGGGACCTTCTTATTCTGCTTTTCGGCTCACTGTCGGCTTTTCCCGCATGGCGGGTTGAAGTCCTGCCTTCATTGTTTCCTTGACTTCTCATTGATGCCCTCGGTTATTGATTGCACGAAAGGATACCACTTCAGCTCCTGAGCTTTGTTTTATAAAAAAGAACCGTGCGCTACCTCGTTGAGGTGTCGACGGAATACCTTTTAGTATCTGTATGAGAGTAACAGACGAGTGGGAGGGTGTTATCACCCATGAACCGGTAGTTGGAATGGTGCAAACGGGTCTTTTCTTTGCGGTGGTTTTGTCGGTTTTCTGCGTTTATGACTGTACTAGGTTGTCACTGAACAACTTTCTTTTTCACTTATTACGAGGGCGATGATGTTTCAATTCAAAGTTGCTATTCAAAGATGCCTGCTTGCCCTATGTGACATGTCCATTCTCGCGTAGCTCATAGAGATTTCGATCGAAGCACCATAGATCGCGTCATTTCCTAGAAGGCTGATAACATACTGCTCACGGGGCCCAGCCTACAACAGCAAGCACATTGCTCGCCCCAGTCCCGTCCAGTCAGTAGACGAACCAAGGCTGGGAGAGCGGGAGCGTCTCCGCGGGCGCCGCCTCGCACACCACGCCGTCCGCCTCGACCGTGTAGCTCTCCGGGTCGACCCTCATGCGAGGCATGGTGTCGTTGTACTTCATGTCCGCCTTGCCGATGCCGCGGCACCCCCTCACGGCCTCGACGCGCTTGCGCAGGCCGTACGACGCGATGGCGCCCGAGTCGATGGACGACGCGGACACGAAGAGCACGCTCGTCTGGGGCACGAACGGCGCGAACATGGGCCTCGCGATGATGGGCTCGATCGTTGGGATGGAGGCATTGGGGTCGCCCTGTAAGTTTTTGGAAGCTTGTTAGAAACGTTGCCTGAGTGGGAGGAGGGATGGGGAGGGTGCTACTGTACCATTTGGGCGGACGCGATGAGGCCGCTCTTGATGACGAGAGAGGGTTTAGTCCCGAACCAGGCGGGATCCCACACGACCAGGTCCGCGAGCTTGCCGACCTCGACGCTGCCCACGAGGTGGCCGAAGCCCTGCGCGAGGGCCGGGTTGATGGTGTACTTGCTCACGTACCTCTTCACCCTGAAGTTGTCCGCGCCGGTGCCCTCGTCCTCCTTGAGCGTGCCGCGCTGGAGCTTGTTCTTGTGGGCCGTGTTCCACGTCCGGAGGATGACCTCGCCGCAGCGCCCCATGGCCTGCGAGTCGGAGCTCATCATGCTGATGGCGCCGAGGTCGTGGAGCACGTCCTCGGCGGCGATGGTCTCGGCGCGGATCCTGCTCTCCGCGAACGCGACGTCCTCGGGGATGTTCTTGGACAGGTGGTGGCAGACCATGAGCATGTCGAGGTGCTCGTCCAGAGTGTTGCGGGTGAAGGGGCGCGTCGGGTTTGTGGACGAGGGGAGCACGTTGGGATGCTCGACGACAGAGATGATATCCGGAGCGTGGCCGCCGCCAGCACCCTCGGTATGGTAGGTGTGGATGGTGCGGTTCTTGAAGGCCTCGATGGTGGATTCCACGAAACCAGACTCGTTGAGAGTGTCCGTATGGATAAGGCATTGCACGTCAAGTTCGTCACAGACCGATAGACAAGCATCGATGGCAGCCGGCGTGCTGCCCCAGTCCTCATGCAGCTTGAGACCACAGGCGCCGGCGCGGACTTGTTCTCGCAGCGCGTCGGGAGCACTGTCGTTGCCCTTACCCGTGATACCAACGTTGAGAGGCAGCTCGTCGCAAGCCTGAAGCATCTGGCGCATATAGTTCTTGCCGGGAGTACATGTCGTTGCGCTTGTCCCGGCACTTTGATTTGCGAGCCATTAGCAGTCTGGTCATTGCTAAGGGGAACATTAGTTTCTTTCTCTCACCTTGGACCAACACCACCTCCCAGCATTGTGGTGATTCCAGACGCAATAGACTCGTACGCCTGTTGCGGGCAGATGAAGTGAATGTGAGTATCAATACCACCAGCGGTGATGATCTTGCCCTCGCCCGCCACGACGTCAGTGCAGCTGCCGACGATCATGTTTGGAGTGACGCCATCCATAACATCTGGGTTACCAGCCTTTCCAATCCCCACGATGAGCCCGTCCTTGACACCGATATCCGCCTTATAGATACCGGACCAATCGACGATCAGGGCATTTGTCACGACCATATCCAACGACTCGGCATCCGACCGCCCCGTTGCCTGGCCCATACCCTCGCGAAGCGTCTTGCCACCTCCAAACTTGCACTCGTCGCCATACACAGTCATGTCCCTTTCGACCTTTAGCCAGAGATCCGTGTTGCCCAGACGGACCACGTCGCCGGTGGTAGGTCCAAACATGGTCGCGTAGGCACTGCGCTCCATCTCGAACACGCTGACGTGGGCGGCGTCGCCCGCAGGCTCCGGCGCGTGCGCGAAGCCGGCCTGCTGGAGCTTGGCCACGATCTCGTCCACGCGCCAGAGCTCCACGAGGCCGGACGCCATGTTGTTGCCGCCGCGGATGACCTTGTTGCCGCCAATCTCCACCAGCGTGACGGTCTTTGTGTCGCCGGGCTCGAAGCGGACGGACGTGCCCGCCGGGATGTCCAGCCTGTACCCGTACGCCCTGGCGCGGTCGAACTCGAGCTGCGGGTTCGTCTCGATGAAGTGGTAGTGCGAGCCGACCTGGATCGGGCGGTCTCCCCTGCTTGTCACCCTCAGCCTGATGCGGTTCCGGTTTTGGTTGAGTGCGACCTTGGCCTTTACACAAACCACAGCGCCGGGCTGGTTGGTGTGTTCATACTCGGACGAGACAGGGAGCTGGAACAGGTCGTTGCTTGGGACGGGCAGGAAGCTCCCGTACAATGCACGGTTCAAGTCGCCGTCATCTGTACTGATGGGGTTGTGGACAGTGACAAGGTAGGTGCCGGTGGGAAAGGTGCCCTCGACCTGGATCTCATGGAGGGTGCTGCAGACCGCGGGGAGGACATGGCGACGGCCGAGCATGGTAGATCCCAGGGCCATGAGGTCAGCCACGGTGTGGTTGCCATCGCGGATGAGCTCCTGGAGATTACTGGCGATGAGAGCCTGTAACGAGGGATCTCTTCTCAGTCTGGGTTCAAATGTGGTGTAGATGAATGGTATGTGTTACCGTAGCCTCGGAATGATTGAGCCTCACACCCCGAGCCAACCTCCTCTGAGCGAGGAAGCCCAATTGAGAGATGGCGAGCTTGTCGAGCTGTCGTGATGTTAGCTCACTTACTCGCACTCATACGTAATTTACCGTCACACCGGCTGTGAAGGTGGACTGGGGTCATTGCGGGGTGTTTGGTGGTACAGACGAACCTCTCTTGGGACTAAACGCATGGCTGCGCGGTGTCTTATCGATTGGGATCAATTAGGTGATTTTCCAACAGTAGAACAACATCTACGTAGCAAAGATTGAAGATATATGTTCACCTGGGGTAGAGGAGGCGAAGGTGGAAATAGGCTCTGGCTGAAGAGAGCCGGATAACCAGGACGTCGCCAGATAACGCAGGCTGGCATGGAGCCGCTGATAAGGTTATGTACTTACCAAGGCATTTACTTAATGGCAGCCGCCAGCAGCTAAAATATGATAGATACCTACAGCTGAACCACACGTCGATTGGTGCTTCCCATAGCCCGAGACACCTTTCATCAATCATTGGAGACGGCTACAGTTGGGTCCACCAATGCGCAGGTGGGTGTTGTTTCGTGAGGACATCTATTGGCATTAATGATTGGGCTTGCAATCTGGTCTTGCCCTCAAGATCAACCTCACTGCTACTCCAATCAAGTATGGATGAAACAGAAAGCCAGAACGGGAGACAGGACCACGGAGGGCGCGGGTGTGGTGCCTAGTCCATGGTATTGAATTACAGGGAAGTTTGAGTCAAGAGTCTCAAGATGATGAGCAGCAAGTGGGCGACAGGAGAAATGAGACACCTAATGGAAGAGTGGCTATACGTAGACTACTTTCTACGACGAATAGAGAAATTTAGTAGCATACAATGAAATAAAATAACAATATATGCCGTATTATCCCTAAAGTATGCATTATTAGTACTTAATAATCTGATAATACTGGTCGCAGACTTGAAAATAAGCAGCTTAATGTTTGAGTGTCTCAATTTCAATGTCACCCACTTGCTGCTCATCATCATGGCGACTTGGAATGGTCCACTAACTTCTCGCTCCAGCGGCCAATGGAAGACGCCGTGTAATTCTCGAAATGAGGTGCTAAGTGCATAGCTATCCATTCAAAACAAAAGTTGATGTATGGATACCATGCTTTCGAGCCTGGAGAGGAATTAGGAGGACTGGGGAAAATGAAGATGTCACTGGTTTGGATGCCCCAACGGTTCGATTCACGCTATACCTAGGCAATTAGAATGGTGAGGGTAAGTTGGGGGATGTGTGGCAAGACGTGCTATGTACTATTGTGGAAGCTAGATAGCTATCAACGAATACAACGTCAATACCAAGCTCGAATATCAATCAATCCCATTGCCAGAATGCGCCTGATATGCAATGCAATCTTCCTCCAACGCCAGGCTAAAACATCGAGAAAAACAAACGCCCATATTAGCCGTGGTCATCACATCATTCTTCTTCAACCTCTTCATCCCATTGCTCCTTCTCCCTCTTGGTGAGTTCAGCGACCTCATTCGGCTTGAAGATGGAACTATCCGGGTCTTCGGTTCTGGGGACCTTGCGGACCGTCTCATCCGTGAACACAGAACCAATGGTGTTGATCCACCTCTTGCGGCGTTCCATCAAAGTCTTGGTCAGATCACCGATACCAGGTCGCGCAGTGCCTGCTGCTCCTGAACCAACAAAATGACTGCCGCCTCCTGCACCTCCAGGACGCTTGGTCTTCTTGTTCTTCCCCATTGTCCGTGTACGCTTTGTGTAGGCAGCTTGGACTTGGTTGTCAAGATCTTCCAGGATGGTTGAATATTCTTGATGTGCCATACGCTCTCGGACAAGCTCGGTGAGTTTCGCCTTGCGCGCTCCGTTGATCAACATTTGGTCCTTGAGTCGCGCCTGTAGGACTCGTAGCCTTCCAGCTACTTCGTCATCGAACGCCCCGTCGTAGTCGCCATCAAATCCCTCTTGCGGAAGGAATCCAATATATTTCAGCTCCTGCTTAAGACGTTCCTCAACTTGGGGATACTCAAGTTTGGGATGCGTGGCTTTCTTCCAAGCTTCTGTTGACGACTCTGGCATGTAGGTTGCGGGAGGCAGAGGATTTGATTTTTCTTCCCCGTTCTGACCATCCCCGTTGACATCGCCATTCATGGAAATATCGCCATTAGTGACGCCATTGGTTGCTGGCCTCTCGTCCGTTTGCGTCCTGTTTTCTGGTCGTAGAGCTTGCAGCAATCTCGATGCTAAAGGTCCAATGGACAGCCCATCGGTTTCGGCCACGCTATCGTTCATGTTCTCAATATTCCCCCGAGGTTGGTTGAAGGGTATCTTGTCTCGCCCTTGCTGAGGGGAGTCTATGGCCATCGCTCCATCATCCTCTGCTGCCCACACTTCCGTGTAGTGCCTTTTGCCTCGGTTAGGCATTACAAAAGGCGTGACGCGGTCGCCTCGCTCACGCAAGAAACCCAAATCCTCTTCCCCAAATGGTCGGAAAAATGGTTCAATGTAAGTCGAGAAGGTTGAGAAATTGATCTGACTGTTCGGCTTCGCATTGCTGAAATCTTTATCCGGCGGATCACCCGCGATCAAATCGGCAAGATCACTACGGGGGTAGACGGCCACGGAGAATATCTCCTTCTTCTCCTCCTCTGACATGCCAGAATGCACATCTCGGATCTCGTAAATGGTGGGATCGGGGAAGGTTGAGGGGTCATCTCCAAATGTCTGCGCCTGGGGCATCTCCCGTCTGGGAGGTGCACCTTCGTCATCTGAACTTGAAGATTCCTCGTTCTCTTCCTTCTTAGGTTTCTCATCGACCTCCATGGCTGATGGGGACCCTGCTGCAACTGGCGAAAGTGATGAACTCGCAGAATCATTGCCACGAGAATTTTTGCCCTTGGAAATGGGTGATGACCGGCCTGAACAAGTTGATCTACAATTAGTAAAGGGCGCCTTTCCGTTGTACTGATCAATGTTTATGGGGGGGAACCCAGTCTCCAGTAGACCTGTTATGGAAGCTTACCTTGGCTATTCCCATCTGTGGGTGGTGCTAGGGTATCGGAATTCCGGTTCCGGTTCTTCTTGGGATTTTTGGGGCGCTTCCCAGTATCATGGTCGTCCGCGGCGTAATCATCGGGTCGTTTTTTACGTTCGTCTGCGAGGAATCTCATCCCTCTGTCGTAGAAACTGGATCGCTTTTCCATGACATCTACCAAGTCCTTGAGCTTAGCAAGCATGGCATCGACGCTTCGGGAATCCGGAACGGTGACGTTTGACATGTTGGCATCAATTAAATCATCGTAACTAAGAGCATTCTGGAACAGAATAACCCTAGCATTGAGGAAGTCGGGATCGTAGGCTTCCTGCGCTGGAAGGCTCGCCGTTGGTGGCGGTACCGGGGTCGACGTTCGACTTTGTTTCTGCATGGCCGCGGCATTCTTCTTGCCGGTGCCTTTTTGGCCGGAACCTAAAGGCATGTGGGGCCAGGTCTATCACCAGAGATCTGGTGTAACATATAGTAAAGTCGGTTTCTGAGGGAAGGCGTGTATGGATTAGTCTTTTGTTGACATCGGAAGGGGAAGCAACTGTTGGCGACTGAATGCGCGCGATTGGGCTTGCGACTAGCTGTTGGCTCGTGCGATGACGATGATGGGCCCGGAGCCGGTTTAACGATTATCCGCTGGCTATCAATCTTCTGCGCCTCATCTCACCTCCTTGCATGGCATTGCTAAGATTGGTAGAAAAAAAAGCAAGTAGTGGTTTAAATGGCCTGGAAAATTTCAAATATAGTACTGAATATATATTCTGTCATATCGTGTGTTATGATGGCAATGTGAATGCTCTTTCGGTTTTGGAGTCGCAACGTCATTCTGCATCTAGATGCAGATTAAACGGTTAGGATCGTTGGTGGCTTGGGTCGTGTTACAACAGTTTATTTTTTTGGGCCTCGGTTCATTCAGTGGTCACTGTTTAAATCAATATGAATGGAGGTCGCTGTACGACCTGTCGGTATGGAAATACGGTCCGGCATAGTTTGGTGTACTATCATGTGTTGTTTCACAGTGACGTGCAGTGTGGCATGAATTGTGGGTGTGAGAGGGCTCTTTGCAGGATGTAACGGTTAGTGGAGCGGCAACCTCTTGTGTAGGCGTCTGCCTTCCCTTTGTGTTGATTCGTTGGCTAAGTAATTCGGTCACCTTTTGCTCCTTGGCGCAAGAGTAAAGAAAAGGCAGGCATGAGTCTGCACTCGCTCTTGCAACTGCAATTTGATGCCGGGTGCCTTTGCAGACAGCCCCACGCCGATTTACAGTGGTCGCTTCGGGGCACTTGGGCCAGCATGTCCGACAGAGTTGTCGGTCATACGCCGAGTGAGCCGAGCAGCGCATGGGGCCGATGCCCCTCTCCCCGTGCCGGCAGCTCCAGCCGATACAGGAAGAGGACATACTTCCTGTTTGGATAAGATTGTCCTGACCAATGCTGGGAAGCATTGAAGCACACTGCGACAAGTCACATAAATGAACCCTACCCAATGGCTGGCTTGGGCACCTGGCTCGAGTATTCTTGGCTCGCAGGCTCGTGAGCTATTGGGAAGCAGCTCGGGATAGCGGGCGAATTATCTCAAGCTAAGAGCGTGCTTTTAGCCTTGCAGCTTAGGAGGAATGGAAGCAAAACACGACAAACGGAGCAATACACGACAGAACTAGGCAGAACAGAACAGAATTGTATAGTAGGACCAGCGACTCGCACAGGGAAGGACGAGTGGCAAGGCAGAGCGGATGAGACGGCGCAGTTTAAGCGAGTGATGCTTGTGCAATTACGTCCGGCAAGGAGCTGCTCAACAAGTTGCTCTGGAAGTAAACAAGTCCATTGAAATGCAACGGTAGGAGATGTACATTGGAGCGCTAGGAAGATCTCGGGGGTCGGTCACTCATGCATGTTTTCACGAATAATATGGAGTACGTGTCATCAAAGAGAAGAGCTCTTGTGAGGGACTTGACTTGGGTCGTATCAATTCTTGATTAGCGTGCCTGGAAGCAGTATCAGCATCAACTTCGGTTCCACTGCCTTAGGTAGAGCTGCGTGGCATCCATGTACACCCGATGCCTTATGTACTAGGTCAACCAATGGAGGAGAGAGACGGATGCGCTGAATATTGAGCATGCGGACAGCTGCCTCTCAGGAGTTTCTGTCTGGTTCTAGGCGCATAGGAAAAGTCAATTCGAAACCCCTCCTCTTGTCAGGCGCGCGTGTCAGACTTGCTTGTCGCAGGTTGGCGATTTCGCACTCCTCACAGGGCTGGGTTCTCAGTACATGTGCTACGCTGGACGCATCTTATTGGGACCATGGAGCTCGTGAGGGTCTCCCCTTAGCAAGCTCTAGGCTCTGGCTGGGCCTGCTGGAGGGAGCTATGATGAGCTGGAGGGGCGGCGGTGGAGGCGCTAGCGTGCCATGATGCGCTAAATTATGGAGAGAGCTCTTGAGGGCCCTGCGTTTCCAACTGCTGTGCACCCTGGAAGCTGCTTGCCCCGGCCTCTCGTCTCCATAACTGCGGCGAGACAGCGCTGTCCCAACATTTTCTCTAGAATTAGCAGCAATCACATGTTATTGTTGTGCAACAACCTAGAGCTTCTGCGCTGGGCTCGTCCAATGCGAAGCTTCCAATCTCTTGGAGCCAGCTCGCGGAGCGGTCAGGAAATTGCTCGTCACAGGGTGCGGAATTTAAGTGAAATTGGACGGCCTTTGGGGCGCGCTGCTCGCAATTGGGCAATGCTGCCTTTGTGCTGGTGCTTTCATGCCGGGTGTCTCGTGCAATCCCCTCCCCAAGGCCTGCCTGACGCACGACCAGGCTTGCGCCCCAGTCATTGGTCCAGCGGCTTGGGCTGGCGCGGGGTTTGCGAGAACAAGAGGCCCCTCTCGATCAGCGGTGGTGGGGGTTCTCCTCTGCTTCGAGCCACACTCCCACTACCCACCCGACATCACTGATGGACTCCACGGCTGCCGTTACTGCGGCACGTAGCCAATCTGTGAGCCCCGAATCGAGCATGAGCCCAGGTACCTCCATGTTCCCCCTTCGGTCGTCTTCTGCCCGCCCACCCGCAGGCGTCGTGCCTCTGGTTGGGCACGAGGGAACCACCAGCTCCGCTTCTGTGTCCCCTTGAGAATAGAAGCAGGAGCATGGGGTGGCATATAAACGCTGCTCCGCCCGGGCTGCGTACAGAGAGGCTTCCTCTTTTCCATTTTATCTCTGTATCACCTATTGATTGAAAACCATCAAGTCATTGCTCTCAACTTCAGCTCTTTTGCTGCCAACCGATTCAACACATCTATTCTCTCGCAAACAATGAGAGAATACCATGGCTTCTCTTGTATGATCCAACCCGCCGACCAGCCCAATTGATCCTCATCCTCTCTCTTTCTGCCTCCTCTCCATTCCCCGCTGACCAGCTGCCTTTCAACAGGGTGGTAACCTTTTGCCCGAGGGCATCGATGTTCAACCTATCTATGCGGGAATTGCCATTGCTGTCCTCGGTGGCGCATGCATCTCAACTTATATTATAAAAACCAAAAAGGAGGATGAGAATCCAGGACTGTTCAAGTCCTTCTTCCTCTTCTTCTACTCATCATTTCTTAAGCCACACCAGGGCGACGCCAAGGGCACCCAGCAGGATGCCTTGGAGAGCTTCTATAAGAGGCAAGCCGGGGCTTATGATGCCACTCGCAAAGTCTTGCTTCGCGGCCGTGAGGATATGCTGGCACTAGTTGCTGCCCAGCTGAATGCCAAGGCCAAGGCCAACTCGGCCACTGCAGACAAGAGTGAGAAACGACGCATTTGGGTCGATGTATGTTGTTGTGTTTCGTCGCCAATCGCGCACCCGGGATGCTGATATGAGTAATTCTTAGATTGGCGGCGGCACTGGCTGGAACATTGAGGCCATGTCCGCTTTTGTCGATGTCCCCAACTTTTTTTCCAGCGTCTACCTCGTCGACTTTTCCCCATCTCTCTGTGAGGTTGCTCGGAAGAGATTCGAGAGACTGGGCTGGAAGAACGTCACAGTCGTCTGTCAAGATGCCCGCACGTTTCGTCTCGAGGATTACGAGGCTGGAATGCCCGTAGCCCGAAGCCCTCTGCGATCTCCTGCTCTCAGCTACTTCTCCCAGCAGCGCCCAGAGCACGGCGGAGCAGACCTGATTACCATGTCATACAGCCTTTCCATGATTGTGAGCTCCAGAATCCATCGCGCCATGATTTTTGTCCACTTCTTGAATCCCAACCACTGACCCCAACCGTGCAGCCCGACTATTACTCTGTAGTTGACTCAGTGACATCCCTGATGTCTCCTGACGGAATCATGGGAGTTGTTGACTTCTATGTCCAGAACCAGATTGACTTCTCTTTCCGGAACTACACTGGCGGTCTTGTCGACCGCCACACCAATTTCTTTACCCGCAGCTTCTGGCGATCTTGGTTTGATCTGGACAGAGTTGGACTTGAACCCAGCCGCCGTGATTACCTCGAGTACAAGTACGGCACTGTCCTCTCTGCCAACTGCCGCAACCGCGCCCTTGGTGCCATCCCGTACTACATCTGGGTTGGTTGCCACAAGAAGCCCTTTTCTTCTTCCAGCTTGCCCCATGAAATTGTTGAGCGTATTGACGCCTTGGCAACTGAGTCTCCCTACCTCGGCCCAGTCAACCAAGGCGATGCCCTGACCCGTGCCATCGAGAGATCCGCTCCCGAAATCCGCTCCAAGGCTTTCGTCACTGCTGTGCAGAATCTCAGTGCCAACCTGCCCCTGCCTTCCTTCTTTTATCAGAACCACCACTGGCGCATCTACTACGATGACCAGCTCCAGAAGCACAAGCAATTCAACGACGAGTATATCTATGCTTTCACTTGGGAAGACACTCGCGTTGATGAGCGTCTGCTCAACCTAGGTCCTGATGACAAGGTCCTTGCAATCACATCCGCTGGTGACAACATTCTCTCTTACCTGACCAAGTCCCCTGCCCGTGTTCACGCAGTTGATCTGAACCCCACTCAGAACCATCTTTTGGAACTCAAGGCTGCCTCCTACACCGCCGGTCTCCCCTACGAAGACTTCTTCATGATTTTCGGTGATGGAAAGCACCCTCGGTTCCGTGAGATTCTACTGAACCAACTGTCCCCCCACCTGTCCAGCCGCGCTTTCCAGTATTGGCTCAAGAACATCCACGTGTTCCAGAACTCCAGTGGTTATGGTCTCTATGATACCGGTGGTTCTCGTCATGCCATTCGTGTTTTCCGTTGGATCGCTCGCATTTTTGGTCTCCGGTCTATTGTCAAGAAGCTCCTCGAAACCAAGACCCTTAACGAACAGCGTGAGATCTGGCGCAACAAGATTCGACCCGCCCTTTTGTCCAAGCTTGTATGCAACTTGGTTGTTGCCCAAGAGAGTTTCCTTTGGGCCGCTCTTGGTGTCCCCAAGAACCAACTTGC